CCGCCTCCCCGGGCTTGTGGTGCTGATGCTGCGCTCTCTGGGGATGCTCGATTCCTGCAGGTTCACTGCGCGCCCCGCCCCTCGGCCCTGTCAGCGCGCTGATTGGCTGGCGGAGAAGAGGAGCCTGTCGACCGCAGCCGCCAGAAGGGCGGGGCTGGCGCTCGGCTTCTGCCGCTGTTGATGCTGCCTCTCCGGAGGGAGGAGGGAGGGAGGCGCGCCTGCTCTGGGCGCTCCAGAGGCCGCCGACCTGCTCACTGCGGAACTGCGATGCGTGGCCCCGGGGAAAAGCCGGCAGAGGCAGCCGTCTTCGCCCTGGGCAGAGCACAAGCGCCTCCCCGCCCACTCCGCGTATGACTCCTCAAAGCAGCGAGCGAAAATGGAGACGGCAGGCATCCGTGCCAACCGCATCCATGCACTTGCTCTATCGCAGGAGATCTGACTCATCATCCCCAGCCTGCGCATCCACACAGGGCCAGACCAACGCGCTTTTGGTGCTCGAAAATTTCATTCCTCGCCGCCCCGCTGCACACACGCTAGCAAGGAAACGAAATCAGTGTTATGACAAAAACAAGCGAAGAGCGCCAGCCATATATATATAATATTATATATATATATATATAATCGGCGTTTTTAGTCTTCATTGCTGCAAAGTGATCGCATGTGAATATAGCAGGTGTGTAGCCGAATCAAGTAAACACAGCTGATCTGCCACATTTGTGTGCTCAAATCTTTTTGCAGAGTTCACATTTCGGGATTGTATGGAATTAATATTGTATGCATTGGTGGCATCAGCCACAATACGTTGATAACCTTTCAATTTTTCATATGATGATTCTGCAATGCCTCTGGTCTGCTTGGGATATATTTCATCTCGCCTTGACCAATTTGGTATTGGGAACCAAATCATCATTGCAGTAGCAGCATAAAATACGACGATGACAACAACAACAAGAACACTTGGATATAGTTCATAGATTAATTAGGTAAATTAAATCAACTAATGTTTATAGTTGAATAAACAGTGGGGGCAATTTTAATTAGTGATCACCTATTTTGTTTGGTGTTACTACAATTTAAGCGGTGTTGTGAGCTAAACCGTTTATCTTTTGTAGGGTTATTTTGTTTCTGTAATACTTTTTTTTTAAGTTGGCCCTTGCTTTAAACTGTATCTGAAAGCTGTTTATTTCTGTTTGGTTCAAAAATATTAGGAATAACTTCCAACATAAATAATCCACTTGATACAGGAAAAATGTAATAAATGACTTATTTTTCTAATTTCAGGAAAATAGCATCCTATGCCCATCCCAGCATCATTTATTGTGCGCATCCGATAACACCTCTTACTTTTTGTCCCAAACTCTTCATCAAATTTAATTACTTAATTTTCCACTCTGCTTGCTTACTCTCCCATCTCTGAATCTCAGACATTTCCCCAGTATTCTAAAAGTGAGGACTATATTGGTCCATATTGAAGCTTTTTCTTTGTTTGTTTTATTTCTGTCATATAAAAAGTGTATCGACTTCTTGTCTTTGCTGCAGACCTAACTGCTTACGATGTGTGTATCTCCCTCAGCTGAAGCATGCATGTCACTATTTACAGCAAGGGCATATGAGGTTGGGCTTTGCATCTTTTTAGCTTTATCTCCAATTTTACTCAGGCTGGCATTTGCTAGTTAGAACGCTGACCTTCCTGCCAGATGGAAATATTCATTTATACCAATAAGAAAAGAAGCTTACATCCAAGTTTCCTAGCTAGCAGATGTTGAAAACAGCATACGGGTCATCCCTTGGTCACATACTCTTCGCATATATTCTTTTCCAACGAAGTTACCGCATTTCAAAAGCAAACTACAAGGAGAAATTCTATACCTTATCTTGCTTTCTTGTGATATACAAAAACAAAACAAAAAAATTACTATCATTATTGATCTCATTAAAGGTACTGTGACCATGTGGGTTTTGAAGTTTTTCCTTATGGCTGCCTTTGTTTTTAATAATAATAATAATAATAAATATTATTGTTGTTTAAATTTATTACCTGCCCTTCATCCTAAGGTCCTAGAGCGAGTTACAACAATTAAAAAATGTTAAAAGCAGTTAAAGAACTAAATTAAAAGCAACTAAATTTTGCTTAAAAATAAATAAAAAAGCAGTAAGAAGTAAATACTGCCAGAAGCAATATGTTTCTGAATATCAGTTGCTGGAAACCACAGAAAGGGAGAGTGCTGTTGTGCCTAGGCACTGCTTGCAGGCTTCCTATAGACATTTGGTTGACCACTGTGAAGGAAGAAAGCTGGACTACACATATATGCTAGGGCCAGCTTTTTCTGGTATAGCCTGAGATTTCATTGCTTCTATAGCCTTATGCATTTATCCTCAAAAAAATGAACCAACCAAAATGGTTTCTCTGGAAAGAAAAAATACAATTGATCTTTTTCTGAGGAAGCAGCTGAGTGAAGTCATCTGATAAGTGTAAGGTAAAGGTAAAGGTATCCCTGCCCGTACGGGCTAGTCTTGACAGACTCTAGGGTTGTGCGCCCATCTCACTTAAGAGGCCGGGGGCCAGCGCTGTCCGGAGACACTTCCGGGTCACGTGGCCAGCGTGACATCGCTGTTCTGGCGAGCCAGAGCAGCACACGGAAACGCCGTTTACCTTCCCGCTAGTAAGGTAAAGGTAAAGGTACCCCTGCCCGTATGGGCCAGTCTTGACAGACTCTAGGATTGTGCGCCCATCTCACTCAAGAGGCCGGGGGCCAGCGCTGTCCGGAGACACTTCCGGGTCACGTGGCCAGCGTGACATAGCTGCTCTGGTGAGCCAGAGCCGCACACGGAAACGCCGTTTACCTTCCCGCTGGTAAGCGGTCCCTATTTATCTACTTGCACCCGGGGGTGCTTTCGAACTGCTAGGTTGGCAGGCGCTGGGACCGAGCAGCGGGAGCGCACCCCGCCGCAGGGATTCGAACCGCCAACCTATCGATCGGCAAGCCCTAGGCGCTGAGGCTTTTACCCACAGCGCCACCCGTGTCCCTTCCCGCTAGTAAGCGGTCCCTATTTATCTACTTGCACCCGGGGGTGCTTTCGAACTGCTAGGTTGGCAGGCGCTGGGACCGAGCAGTGGGAGCGCACCCCGCCGCGGGGATTCGAACCGCCGACCTTTCGATCGGCAAGCCCTAGGCGCTGAGGCTTTAACCCACAGCGCCACCCGGGTCCTCTGTCAGGAAAAAGACTTCAGGAACATGGGGAAACCTGACTGGCTTCACAGGAGAAAGCACATTTGTATCCTCTCATCACTAAAACATATCTCAAAACCTTTTATTTGTCAGTGGTGGCAGATTTAACATTTAGTTATGAGTCAATGAGTGGTGAGCTATTCAATTGGATGATGTGCATTGTCTGACTTTTGTGTCCTCTAAGCCTTCCATGACATACATGCATTTATGAATCCACCCTAAATAATAAGTCTGCAGGCTCAGAGAAACTTGGGTTTAAAAAAGTATGGTCTGTCTCCAGTCAGTATACTCAGATAAGGATTTTATCTGATAACCCTTCCTACCCAGATCTTAACACTCAGGATCACTGCAGCACACTAGCCTTTTGAGAAGAAGCATTTGTGGATTCCCTTTTGTGTTCAGGGCTGCTCAGGTTTTCATCATGCACCTTCTGCCTTTATTACACCCCCATCCCCTTATCTGGAAGAAGATTGTTTCCCTGCAGTTCACTAAATCCCAGCTGGAGCATTTCCTGTTTGACTCAAGCCCTGCTGGAATATATCCACTCCATTGCTCTGTTGTTATCTAATGCCTGTTTGGCATGGTTGCAGAACTGCTGTTATGATGGCATGAAGGAGAGAAAAGGAAATTAATGTTTGTACTAAATTGGGTAGGATATTGGAGGTGTCTGCTTTCGAGAATTCATTACCAACATTTAGGATAACTGCTTACACAAGAGCACCTTGGTTACAGCAGGACTCATCTCCATATTACAGTAAAACATTTGTCCCAGGACCCAGAAGCCACAGAGACAGCAATGGCTCTTATAATCAGGCAGCCATGGTGCATGGAAGCAAGCCATCCCTTATTACCAGCAGTAGGACATAACTTTAGCATTAATAAAGACCCTGGTGGAGCCATCCAAGCAATTTTTCCAGAATTTTCTATTCGGAAATGGATGGCTTATGCAGGGTTAAGGGATAAGGGCATTGTCAAATAAGGGGCACAGTTGCTCCATAATCAGTTGATTCCATAATCAAGCATTTTTAAAGTTGGAAGATACCTTGGAGGTCATAGAGTCTACCCTCCTGCTCAGTTGCAGGAATTTTGCAACTACAGTACAAGATCCCTGAGAGGTAAACATGCAACCTCTGCTTAAGTATCTCCAACAAGGGGTCTTAATTGCTTTCAGAGTGGGATGGGATAGCCTGGGCACAATGCTAGCCAGAATTTAAAGGGGATAGGCATTTTAAAGGCAAATGCAGTTCAGGGTCTCCCACGGCAACTTTTCAAAATGAATTGGATAGATTTGGTTCAAATCCCATCTCAATTCTGAATTGTTACTGGATTGTTTTTATTGCTTGTTACTCTGTGTCACTTGCTATGCTTAAAATCCCCCTGCAACTGCCACAGAGCAAATATCTGCTTGGTCCTTGTGGACCAAATTGCCCATCATCATCATTATTTATGAACTACTAGTGAAGTCGCACTGGACAGCCAACGTTGTTGGCAAATTGCAATAAAATATTAAAAATAGCAACATTTAGCTGAGTGGTGGCAACGCCACTGCCCACCTGTGTTTCTTGGCAGAGGCATATGAGCTTCTTTTTGCAAAACCCTCTTATTGTATTTTATATTCGTAACACCTAAAATATTATAGACTGTGGACAGAAGAGACAGTCCGTTGAACACTTAGTGATTGATGGGGGGGGGCGTCATTCATGAAAGAAAAGTAACTTTCTATTTGCAAAAGATTAAGCAATTAATGATTAACTCCACCAGTTCCATCACTAACTTCCAAGGTCTCAAAGTAGGACATGGGAAATGTATTTATTTGTTTGATTAATTCATAACATTTGAACCCAGAGTTTTGGTCAAGACCAGGTCCTCAGCAATCTACTGTGAGGTTCAGAAAGTTTCTTTTCTTGTAACACTTCATGTCAACGTGCGCCAGAAAGCAAGAGAGAAGGAACTGAATGAGAGCCAAGCAGGCAGCAATACTCAAGGGTTTGGGTCCTTGTTGCCAACTTTAACATGTCTAAAAAAAGCAATGCCACTCAGGCAGGTAAGTGAAGGGCCGCTGGGTAGAGGGAGCCTAAAATAATTTGATAAAGAGCCTCTGGATGGAAGATTGCATTTTGAATTAATAAAGGAAGCAATAACAAGTAAGGATGAATGAATATGTCAATTTTGTTTTCTCTCTTTTACTAATTCAGTTCTCCACATTTCTGCTGCAAACTGCAACAACTCTCATGAAAATTTGTCAGTATTTTAGTGTGTATTTCTGCTGAAACACAGATTTTTGCATGCACTTTTGACTAATATATGCATTTTTGCAACTTATATTCTCTAATATATTGCATTTTATTATAAATGCCTCTCTGGATAAAAGGCAGGATATAAATTTACTAAATATAACCTTTTTTTAAAAAAAAGTTATTTTCCACCAATGTATGCATTTTTATGAACACTTTCCCCTAATATATGCATTTTGGTACACATTGCTTGATCAGAAAACTCCATCACAACATTCAGAGACGTGCGTATTTTGAAGGATACAAGTAATTGAGTTTCAGTTCACATACTGGTTTAAGAACAAATCAAGTACCGGTAGTTTCTCACTCAAATGCAAACAAAATTGGATTTCCCTCCCATCCTTAATATCAAGCTAGCAAGAAAAAATATTAAACTGGGAGTAGGTTTGTTGTCTTGCCTTGTCATGCAGAATGCCTTCTAGTCAGCAGGACTCATCTTCTGTATTGTGTTCAGAGTGTCATTATAGAAGCATCTGTACACATGGAGGAAACTGAAGCAATTTCACAAGGGCCTAAAATCATGCTGAAAGGAAGAGAAAATGTGGTATCTTACTATGAGTTTATAACAGAAACAGTAACATCAGTTGCAGAAGTTTGATTGGTTTGTTTTTGCTGAATTCTGCCTCTCTACTAATTTAAATTAAGGGCCAGCCAAAGTGGAAGTGGGTTCAGAGATTGTGACGGTAAGAAGCAACAGGGTTGTGCAGAATAATACCACTGGCCCAGCGGAGATTGTCATCTGCGATGGAAAGATAGCCGATATTCTTCCAAAGAGAAACTGGGCCAGACCCAGTGGAGAAAAGGTATGGACTCATTTAACACTTTAATTGTTTGTGGATTTCTATACTAGTGTTCAGGATCTGTTTCTAGCATGTTTCACAAATAAAACAGTAAAATTAAATAAAAATGCAATCCCATACAAAAGCAGCATAAAATACAGATAGAGGACCAAAATTCTTTTAAAAGCCTGGGAAAATAAAATATAACTGTGTAGGTGCTAGGAGTCTCCATGAGTATCCTGGCTCCCCACATTTGAACTTGAATTGATATAATGGCTGAAAGTTTTGGAAATTTTATTAATGAAGTTAGTAAAGTGTCCCAACATGGGTCTACAGTTTACAAGCAGGTAACGCACCACAGAGGACGTGACTAGGATTAGCTAAAAATTATTGTTATAGAAAGTCTTAACCATTGTATGTGGAAATGAGCATGCAAATATATTTTATAAACAGGTTCAATTTCCAATATATTCTGAAGTATTTAAAATGTCAACAGTGCTGAAAGTTCAGCATTTAATAGCACTGACATTTTGAAGCGCGGTTTTATATGCATAAACCTCCCAGAATGTTTCATTGTTAATCTGTGCTGATGAAAAATTCTAAGACAGCTCAAGGTTACACTGATCCCTTTCTTAACTGTGGTTCTAAATGAATAGCTACTGCTCTAAGGGGTGACACACGGCATCTTTCATATCTGTTACATCTTTCCTAGACATTACAGTTTTCACAGACGATGACAACAACATACAAGTGCAATTAGGGGGTCCTGTGTAGTATTGCACAGTGGTGGAGTAAGAGGGAAGCGATTTCAATTAAAATCCCACTTTAGCCATGAATCTAAATAGGTGACTTTGGGCCATTCATAATCTCTCAAGCTCAGGGTCCACTGCAAGACTCTTGTGAAAATTTAACTGGAAGAAAACATGTATGCCACCCTGAGCTTCTTGGAAGAACAGTGGGATACAAATAATATAAATGGTAATATTAAAATTGTATTTATAAAAAAGAATAGAGAGAGACTGACCTGACTTGCAGGGACATGAGTCAGGAAAGCAATAAAAATATTGTCATGAAATGCAATATGAAATGTATATAAATCACAGAAGCAACAGCCAAGAAACAGCAAAATCCAACAAGCATAAAACAAAACCCAAAACAGATCAGGTATAAGACACGCTGGAATGTCTGGGCAAATTTAAAAAAAAAAGTTTTTAGCTGGTGCTGTAAAATGATGAAGATTGGTCCCAGGTAAGCTTCTTTGGAGAGGGCATTCTGTACATGAGACACCATTACTGAGAAAGCCCTCTCCCTAGTCGTTATCCTCTTAACCTGAGATGGTAAGGGAACCTGAAGAAGGGCCTCTTATGATGAATTATTTGTTCAGGCAGCATCATGCATTAGTAACCAACTTCAGATAACCAAGCCTCAAGCTATTTTATGAACGAGAAAGGAAAATATATTCTGGAGCATGGTATTAGGAGAGCTTTACGAGGGAGCTTGTGAAAGTGAACTATCCCAACACAAAACATCACATCCCTGGGGACTAATTCTCCACTCAGTTACACTAGTTTCACGCCATCATGATTCCATTGACTTCACTGTAACTGAGTAGAGAACTAGACCCTATGGTCATAGTACCAATGCAGAGCATTGAACCAAATTCACAGTGAATGCATTGGATAGGGGCCAGGGTAAAGTGTTCTCTCTTTTTTTATGTGGTTTTCCTTCTGGGTTAAACTTTTAGTTGCCTGACCAGTGACCTTTAGCCAGTGCCTGTTGCTGATCACAGCACACTCCACATTACCTCGACTAATAATTAACGCAACTTGCTCTGTCTGTGAATTGTCCATGAGCTGCGCATGAGATTCTCTCACTGCTTGGTTCAGAGGGTAGATTTTGGCAGAAAAGCTATTGGTTCTCTTTCTGTCCATGTAAGTCATCTGTATCAGATATGGCCAGTTGCTGGAACATAAGATGACCCTTAATGGAACAGAACAAAGGCCTATCAAATCCAGTATCCTGTTTTCTGGCAAACGCACAAGCAGAATATGGGCGCAATAGCCATTTCCCATTACAGTGGTACCTCAGGTTACAGATGCTTCAGGTTACAGACTCTGCTAACCCAGAAATTGTACCTTGGGTTAAGAACTTTGCTTCAGGGTGAGAACAGAAATCACATGGCGATGGTGCGGTGGCAGCGGGAGGCCCCATTAGCTAAAGTGGTACCTCAGGTTAAGAACAGTTTCAGGTTAAGAACGGACCTCCAGAATGAATTAAGTTCTTAACCTGAGGTACCACTGTACTGTTACCCAGAAACTGGTTTCCTGACGCAATCTCCCTTTGCCCCTGGAGGTAGTGTGCAGTCATCACAATAAGCAGTAATTGATAGGCTACTCCTCCATTAATTTCTCTAATTCTCTTTTAAAGCTATCGAAGTTGGTGGCCATCACCACATCCTGCAGCAGGAAATTCCATATTTTGGGAAATTCCATTTGTACTGTGTTGAATTGCTATTACAAGATGAGACTACAGCTCTGCATGGCCTGCTACAGGGGCCATTATGAACGAGAAAACTTGTTCTAGATACAACCTTAGCTGAACTTGGATGGCCTTGTGGCAGTTATCCATGGTCTAGTAATCTGCCAGCTAGACTATTGCAATGCATTATATGTGGGGCTGCCTTCAAAGATGGTCCAGAAACTGCATCTGACCCCAAACAAGGCAACAAGATTGTTAGTGAGGATTGGAAGATATCAGCGTATTATGACACTGGCTATGTCATCTTCAATGGCTTCCAGTCCATTTCCAGGCCCCAAGCACTGTGCTGGTAGGAGGGACTGTGATAGTGATTTAAAAATGAAACAAAAAATGAAACAGAGAACAGTAGTATTAAAAAGAAAGAAAGAAAGAAAATACTAGTACAATAAATACTAGATGTGGTCAATGTTTATTAGATCCTTGTCCTTCCTTGTTACAGTCTGGACTCCAAAGATAGTGAATGCTTTTCTGAGAGAGAGTTTGGTTCCTGCTGCCCTTAGAAAGGTAGGAATTAGATCTCAACTGGAGGGGAAAACTAGGTTGGAAACTTCTCCAAGTAGCCTCTCAACCTGAGTCAGTCTTGTTATTTCTGCCTCTGTCCCTTTAAATCTGAGGCCTCTTTTGTACATTAATGCAGGGTGAGTCCTTTGAAAGATACAGAGTACAGATGTTCCACGAGGCCTCTTTTGAAAGACTCACCCTGTACAATCTAAATAAATGTCTGTGTCTTAAAGCATCTTAAGGGAATGAAAAATGACTGGAGATGAAAAGAGAGACAAGCCTTCCTAATTAGGAATGCCATCAGATGCAACTTAACTTCCAAAAAGAAGGGAAAAGACAAAACAATGGCTATGCCTGAATTCATCCACTCGTGCAAAGCAGCTAATGAAGCATACTGTACTCCTTCTTTAAGGAGCTGCAAGACTATTAATTGCTTCCAAGTAACATTAATCTAACTTTCTCTTAGGAAATTTGAGAAATAGTTGAGCTCTCAATGCACATGCAAGGAAGATGAGTGTCTGATGAATAATGGTTTGCAACAAAGATGCAAGTATTTTGTTTCGTTGTTTTTTTAAAAAAAAAATACAATTCCTGGCATGTTGAAATTATGACAGATCTCTTACTGGATGAGTGTTCTAATAAGGTAGAGTGAGCAGGAAGCCTAGCAAGAAGTCCAAATGATCAAATCAATTATGAAGCGTTCTTAGAAATCTCAACTGTTGTGGGCCACAATCCAGCAGAGAATGAATGGTTTTAAGAGCTCTTTTAGTTTGCAATGGCTTGTGGCTGTGAGTTTTTAAAGTGTTCCTCCAAGCTTTCTATAGCATTCCAAAAAGCAAAATACTAAACTGTGTTTTGAATTAAAATCCAGAGTTTTTAACAAGGAACCTGCACAGGTTGCAAGCATTCTATGGACCACACTCATGATGAAGGCAACTTTAGAATGTTCTGCAATTAACCTGCAAATAAACCTTCTGCCTACAGATCTTAGATGTTGGAGACCTCGTGGTCATGCCTGGAATAATTGACCCTCATGTGCATATATATGAGCCTGGACAGCCAGCTGGTGAAGGATTTACATCTGTGACTCAGGCCGCAGCTGCAGGAGGCATCACCACTGTTGTTGACATGCCCTTGTACGTTACCAGAGGGCTGGAGGGAGGGAATAAAGGGAGAGAATAAGGACTTACCTATTTTAATGCAGAATTCACAATGAGATTTCCCAGGTCAACTCATATAAACTACAGTGTAAGAGTTTATATGTCTCTTCCTAATATGATCTAATCCCTCATCCCATTGTAGGCCCTTGGCTCAAATCCTAAGACTTTCCTGAGGGTCGCTTGACCCTCAGGAATTGCTTTCCAAGGGGTTCAGGATGAGTTGAGAACCTGTGTGTGTGATGTGTGTTTTTCCAAGCAAGTTTTTAATAAACATTTTCCCAATAGGAAACTAAAGAGGTAAAGAAGGGGAAGGGAATTATGCATAACTGAGCATTCTTGTGCTTGCACTTCATCTGGTAAAGTCTTTGTTGCTTTTTATTTATTTTATTGTATTATTATTATTCTGCCTTCCATCCCACATGGGAACCAAGCAGTTCTCTACATCATCACATTAACAGCTGGAGCAGCTTCTGCAGGGCAGGATTTCTGAAACACCATATATAGTCCTGCAGTGTCACCTACTGGTCATACTCAGATACTGTAACCAAGGGTGAATTCCCATGCTCAATTTCCACACCAGAAATCCATGGTTGGTTGGTTTTCCTTTTTGAGGCCCCACCAAATGTCTAGACATAATTATAACACACGAACAAAACACACACACACACACACACACTCCCCAACAGCACTGAGAGTCAGTGTGGTGGTCGTAGTTACTGATTTATCTATCAAATGCATAGCCTGCCTTTCCTGATCACTTGAGGTGGTTCACTATAGGAAAAAAATACCAGACCAGAACTGGAGATACTGATGTTCAAATCCCCACTCCTATCACTCCAGAACTGGAGATAAAGGTAAAGGTACCCCTGCCCGTACGGGCCAGTCTTGCCAGACTCTAGGGTTGTGCGCTCATCTCACTCTAGAGGCCGGGAGCCAGCGCTGTCCGCAGACACTTCCGGGTCACGTGGCCAGCGTGACGAAGCTGCTCTGGCGAACCGGCACCAGAGCAGCACACGGAAACGCCGTTTACCTTCCCGCTATAAACCGGTCCCTATTTATCTACTTGCACTTAAGGGTGCTTTCAAACTGCTAGGTGGGCAGGAGCTGGGACCAAACGACGGGAGCTCACCCCGCCGTGGGGATTCGAACCGCCGACCATGCGATTGGCAAGTCCTAGGCGCTGAGGTTTTACCCACAGTGCCACCCGCATCCCCAGAGAACTGGAGATACTGATGTTCAAATCCCCACTCAGCCATTACACACACTGGGCAACACTGAGCCAGTGTCTGTCTCTCAGCCTCACCTACTTCACAGGTTGCTTGTTGAATGCTGGAATGTATAGTATTTTGAGCCCTTTGCTAAAAGAAAGCCATGATAGAAATATTATTTATTAAATCAATAAATAAACATTTATGCCTGGTGGAAGCTCATATGGGAATAGGGAAATCCATCATCTTTGGCATGTTAATGGGATCCAGTGGCAGAAATTCAAGTAACTACCACAACCTAACAGAGGCAAATTTAAACTAAAGTAGTGTTTTTGTTGGAACCAGTTTGTGCACGGGTGGTACTGCTTTGGTTGAAGAATGAGGTCAGGATGTATTAAAGGTGTGTTACAGATTGGCAGCTAGACTAGGCTAGAAATGAGCACAGTTTAGTTGCCTTCTAGGTAGGAATGGTTCTACAATTAGGCAGAATGAGGCAACTGGTTGCGTTTCTCATAAAAGGGCAGGGAGTGAGGAGACATGCTGAGACTTCTTGTTTCAGCTGCCATCTGCTCCCTGACTTTGATTATGGTAGTAGTGGTGGTGGAGGAGGAAGACAGGTATCATTTGCTGCTCTTAGGCAGCAAAATGTGCTGGGCCAGCCTTGTTTCCAAGTAACATCTTATTTTACTTCATCCCCTTAACTCAGGTACTGCAGTCCTCCAACCACAACCTTGTATGCCCTTGAGAAAAAGCTCCAGTCTGCTAAGGGAAAGTGCCATATTGATGTTGCATTTTGGGGTGGCATCATTCCTGGAAATCAGGTTTGTATCCAGCAATGAAATGGCATCAGCTCCTTATGTACTTTGGTTGGAGGGCTGTGAAGGCAAGATAAATAGAGAAGGCTCCAGAAATGAAAGCGTTCCTTTAGATAGCATGATCCATTAAAAGTAAGAGGATGCAAATGGATGGAGGATTCTGCCATGTTTTTAGTTATACTAGGGTTGCTATTATAGGGACGTGGGTGGCGCTGTGGGTAAAACCTCAGCGCCTAGGACTTGCCGATCGCATGGTCGGCGGTTCGAATCCCCGCGGCAGGGTGCGCTCCCGTCGTTCGGTCCCAGCGCCTGCCAACCTAGCAGTTCGAAAGCACCTCCGGGTGCAAGTAGATAAATAGGGACCGCTTACCAGCGGGAAGGTAAACGGCGTTCCGTGTGTGCTGCGCTGGCTCGCCAGATGCAGCTTGTCACGCTGGCCACGTGACCCGGAAGTGTCTGCGGACAGCGCTGGCTCCCGGCCTATAGAGTGAGATGAGCGCACAACCCTAGAGTCTGGCAAGACTGGCCCAAACAGGCAGGGGTACCTTTACCTTTTAGGGTTGCTATATTTCAAAAAGTGAAAATCTGGGCAGAAACTTTTTTGAGCTTTTCAGCAATTTCCATCCAGACATGATTTCCGATGGCCGATTGCCAGCTATGCCCAGGAAATTCCAGACATATGGCAACCCTAAGTTACACTGCACCCTATGCAAGAGCTCTGGAAACAGTACAGTACACAGTTTTGAAAATAAGAGATGTGGCTTGAAATAAACCACTTGGCTTGAAATCCCAGTTCTAATTCCATATATGTATGAATGAATTGCAGCAAATTGTTGGAAGTGGGAAATGAACTCTGCTCATCCTCATAGGGATAGGTGAACTTTAGATTCAGTTTGCATTTAAACTTAAAACTCAATTGTAGCTGAATATGTGCAGAAATTGCAAGAGGGCAGAACTTAATATGCAACTCAGCCATTCTTCTGCTTTCTTCGTATTATTAGCAAACTTTCCAAGTGCTTGTCCTTGTGCTATCTCTTAGGCTGAGCTCCTACCAATGCTGAAGGCTGGGGTTCCTGGATTTCAGTGCTTCCTAATGGCCACTGGTGTGGAGGACTTTTCCCATGTTTGTCTACATGATATACATGTGGCAATGAATGAACTGCAAGACACAGACTGTGTGCTCCTGGTAAGGAGTTGAGTTCCTACTCTTTTACTCGCTAGCACCTTTGACATTAAGTACCTGTTTTCCATTTCTCTTCTCTCTTCCAGTGGATCTCCAATCTGGCTGGCAACATTTCACAATTTCTCTCCTTGGGCATTTCTTATTTTTAATTTTTTATGTATATTTTATTAGTGAATTGAAATATTGTACATACTTTTCCCCAGTAGGTTATTCAGGTACTATAAATGACACAAAAAAGATGAATGAAGATTAGTACAATAATTAAAAGAATTTACTAATGTCCACATATTAATAAAATTAAGCAATGCCCCTTCATAATAAAACATTAATTAATATTAAATATACAGAATTAAAATTTAATTGCGGTATATTAATTCATGATCTGCATATATTTTAAAGGTGTGAGAACAACTTCCCTATTTCCTTTCTTTTATTCTTATGTGTATAAGCTAATTCTTATTTTACATATTGAATTACCAAATCCCAACTTCTTATAACCTGCTTATATTTTTTTCTATCTTTAATCGTTGTGGTTTTCACTTCTTTGGATTATTTATACTTGCACTTTCCATCTCAAAAGAGACACTTAAGGTGGCATACATTCTTCAGCAAAGAAAAATCCGCTCTTGGAAAACTGGCATCCAACATCCAACAAAAGATTCAAGGGAGAAAAGAACTATGACCCACCTTTTAGCTAACGTGTAATATACAGCTATAGACTATATTAGCCTGAGTACCTGGATTCTAGGGCAATAAGCAATTTCACTGTTAAAGTAGAGCAACTCCCTTCCTAGCACTGAGTACTAAAATGAAAAGGTGCTGTTATGATTTGATATATCACAATAGTGTTTTGTTTTTTAAAAAACAGCAGGCAGTCTTCCCTGCTTTAAATTAAGCACTCTTGGTGACATTTAGCTTTCATAGGCTTGTCTAAAACTAGACCACTGGGATGGGGTGGGGGTGAGAAGGAAGAAGATGTATTTTTAATCTTTGTTGGAAGCCGCCCAGAGTGGCTGGGGAAACCCAGCCAGATGGGCGGGGTACAAATAATAAATTGTTGCTGTTGTTGTCACATTGTTATATCTTCCTGTAGAAATTTTTATATAAAGTTAAACTTTCCCCCCCTGTTTGGGACTCTCTACACAGTTCCATCCAGAACAGGAGCCAAGTCACTCCCTGCCTGTCCAAGAGGGTATGTATTATGCTAACCAGTACCTTTACTTTTACCCCACCAGATATGTCTGCCAGGAGACATGGGAGCATTTCCCCCCTTCATCACAGGACCCTGGTCATCCCTTTGTGTTCTTCTGAATGGAAGTGTTTGCTCAGCTTAGAACTTGTTTTGCACCAACAAAGAAATAGATAATAGAGACCATCAATAGGGCAAATAAAGGAGAGTAGATAAGAGAGGAGACAGCAAGGAGTCTGGAGCAGCCCTGGGCAGTGAACTGTCTGAAGAAAAATACCTGAAGATTTCAGAATGGCCTCCCTCTGATGACATAGGAGGGAGGGAGATTTCAGTTGCACAAGAAATGGGCACAATCTTTCTAGGATGTGAAGGGAGCTGGGAACCGTTCCCCTAAGGACCTTAAGTGCATTTTAATATACTAAAACACTAGAAATAATCCTGCTAGAACCCACTTGGTAAATGTGTGCATCTTTATATTTCTCTCTCCCTTTCCTCAAACAGACACCATGGAATACAGCACTTTCTTGGACACACGCCCTTATACCATGGAAGTGGAGGCCACCATCACCATTGCTGAACTGTGTCTCCAGTATAAGTGAGTGTTTCTTTCTGTTAAGCTGGAAATGAGAGAGCATGCTAAGGACATAAAAAACCCCTGCCGTATTACACCAAAATCCCATCTAGTTCAGCATATTGTTCTCCCAATGGCCAACTAGATGCCTATGGGAACCCACAAGCAAGACCTGTGAGCAATAGCTCTCTCCTGGCATGTGCTTCCCAACAACTGGTATCATACTCCAACTGCCCCAAAAATACCAGGATCGTCACAAACACCCTTAAGCAACCATGTCCCGAATTCCCAAGGGTCCTTCCCTTCAGTACTGGAAGTTCAGACCGTGCGTCCCTCTAGGACATTTCTTAGATCTATGCCTCCCACTCCCTTCCTTCCCTCCTGACTCAATATGGCCCCACTTCCTGTTTATATGAAAACAAGATCCGGAGCACTTGAGGGCCCCTAATAAAGTTTTTCACTGTTTCCTTGCTCCTTGGTCAGTTGGTCTCTCATAAAGAAACTGATGAGAGGGAGCTAAGCAGGCGAGGCCTTCCACAAGGTCACTGTCCACATGGTTGCGAGGGGTGCCAAGAGGTCACAAGCGCTGAAGAGCAGCTGTTACAGTCACTTGGCTCTGGTTTGCTTCGTTCAGCCACTGCATCTGAGTCCCTGCCCCAGCCTCTGAGGAGAAGGCAGGGTGGGGGGCACTGATGTAGAATATGTCCCTATTTTCATCTGATGAATGTTGGAGGGCATGTGGTATTCAGAGGCATACCACCTCCAACAATAATCATACACTTTTAACTTTACAGGATACCATGCCACATAGTTAATCTCTCCTCTGCTCAAGCCTTGCCCATTATCAAGGATGCTCGTCAGAAGGGAGCACCAATTACTGTAGAAACTGCACACCACTACCTCAGCCTGGCATCTGAATGCATTCCTCCAGGAGGCATCTACTACAAATGCTGCCCTCCTATCAGGGACAAGAACAACCAGGTAAGAGCTATGGGAAATGGAAGTGGTCCAGTCAAATAGCAAAAAATTAAAAGATAAAATAAAAATAAAGTGATGGCAGAGAGAGGACATATGAAGTGAGATCTGAGTACTATTAAAAAGAAATGCTTGATAATGTCTGCAATAATTCAGTAAGAGGAATAAGAAAAGACAGGAACTTTATATGATCAACAGACTCCACTCATGTTGAAATTATAGGTTGTTCTGGATGAACAAAGCATGACAGGTTATTAAAATGGCATTCAGAAAAGAGTGAGTACACATACACACAATCTTATGCAGTTGACTCCTATAGATAATACACAGATCCAAACGATTGTCTAGAGATATATCAATGCAATGTTCAACTACTTCAATCCATCACATACATTATGAGAAACAAAAAAACAATAAAAACAAATAAAATATGTTAAAATTGACAGTGCAAAGTGCATTTGTGTCACATCCAGACATGTTCAAAGAGATGGTAGTTTAGTGCTTAATGTAAGTTCATTGTTCTCTAAGGACCGGTTTAACGAACTCAGTTTAATAAACCATGCTTGAGCACAAGAATCAGACTATATGCTACCTCCTGGTCCCTCTCTTCTTCCCATGAAGCTCTGGCTTCAGTGCCTCCATCATGGTTAATTTAAACCACAGTTTCCTGTTACATCTTAACTAGGAAACTACCACGTACCGTAATCTCAGACTACAAATACCAGGTTAAGATGTTGGTTTTGCATCCTATTTGGTAAGTTGAGGTAAAACAGATGTAACTGGAAATTTTGGTTTAAAATAGCCATAATAAAAAAAACTGGATCCAGACAAGGGGGGGGGGAGGGCCAAACACATGGGTGTATTCTCAGTTTAATAAACTATGGTTTATTGGCCCTAATAATTTGCCCAAAGTACAGGGCAGGCCTTCCTAAAGAAATAAGGGCACTAGAAAGGAAAAATGTCAGTTCCTGAATAATACGTAATACAAGTGAATTAAGTGTTATTGTGATTCTTTCTTGGGCCAGGATGCAAAATCCAGGAGTGGAATCATTGCAAAGCAATGCTTCTGTTCCCAGTTCCTTAAAACATTCCAGAAGGACTTGGTGGTGGTGAAGAAGAAGAATCAGCATGGCCAGAAGAATCAGCATGGCCACGCTATCCTTATCTGTTTCTAAATGTGGATCTTTAGTCAAAGAAATTTCCTTTCCATGCCCATTCCTTCTTGCTTTTCCATTCTAAGGAGAGCTAACTTTCAGTGGCAGCTCTGTCACTATTGCTTTGGACGGTCTATTTTCGAGTTGAAAGCTGATCCTGGATCTTTGGTACGAACTGCATTACCTCTGTATGCATCAATGGATTAATGCAGGGGTCACCAATGTGTTGCTTGTGGGCACACATATGCCCACAGAGGCCTTTCCTGGTGCCTACGGGGTCCCCTTTCCCACTCCACTGAAATTAGTGTTGAAAGAAGCATGCTCCTGTCGCTAGTAGAACAGGTTGTGAAGTGTGCTTGGCTGTGGTGCCCACAGCTGTGTATCCAGTTTGCAAATGTGCCACTGGCCCCAAAAAGGGATGTGACCCTTCCTTGATCATTCAATGGCTTCACCTTACTCAAGGAGAACTACAAAAGTATTTCCTTGGCATAAACTCTTCTTCTCATGTCTCCAGGAGCAGCTGTGGGCAGCTTTGGAAGTGGGAGAGATAGACATGGTTGTCTCAGCCCATACTCCTTGCTCCCGAGACTTGAAAGATTTGAACAATGGAGACTTCCTTAAGGCCCCAGCAGGGATTGCTTCACTACAGTTTGGTAATATGTTTATGAACTATTTTATATATGCTGTTCTTTTTCTTATCGTCATCCAATGAGCATGTACTGCTAATAATGGAAAGGATGATATCCTCATATCATGACTCAAGAATATACTACACTGACAGGCAGTATCTCTCCAGAATGTGGGGCCTCAGAGGTCTTTTCCATTGCCTGCTAACTGGAGGTGTCTGGAATTAAAACAGTAACCTTCAGGATGCAAAGCATGTGATCCACCATTGAACTATGGCCCTTACCAAAGAATGACCTGTCATCCTGTTGTTCCAGGTGCCCTTAGTGTCCTCAAGCTAAGCTAACCAATACCCCGTTCAAAATGCCCCATTTCATTTAAATTACAAATACTTTAGTTTTTCACTATGTAAATTAAAGTAATTTGTTTTAAAAAGCATGTTCAATAAAGCAAAAACTGGATCCCAAGCATAGTTACTTCAAAATAAGTTCCATTGAATGCAGAATAATTTTCTTTTAGGTAGGTTATGGCTTTCAGACAAAGAAATCTTAATTGATCAGATCACTTTTCATAGAATAGCCGATTCATTGATTAAATTTCCATATGTTTACATACAAAAATTCTGAAGAAAATAGCATGAATTTACTTCCCTGGTGCTCCCCCGTCCCCAATACAATCACACAATAGTGTGTGCGATTCAATGTGTGTATGTTTGAATGAGTGTGAGTGAATGTGTTTATGGGTGACCCAACGTATTGCCACATGTGGCCCTCTCAGGAAAGGACTGCTCACCCCTGGTATAGAACTTGACCAAATGTTCAAGTCTCCTTTTTAAGTGGCATTAAGTGATATACTTTGAGAAGAAACCAGGGAAGAACAATCTTCTTAACAATAAATTCCTCTACTAATTGTGACTGGAAAATTCATAGGTCTCCCTCTCTTCTGGACTTCTGCAAAATCCAGAGGGTTCTCCTTCCATGACCTAGTGCAACTGATGTGCAAAAATCCTGCCATTCTGAGCAGGCTGGAAGACCGTAAAGGATCACTTGGCCCTGGGATGGATGCAGACCTGGTGATCTGGAATCCAGAAAAGGAGTTTGAGGTAAGGATGGGAGAGGATATAGGTCATTTTTAAAATTTTGTGAATCACCTTGGAAGTCTGCTATAGAGCCAAAAACAGGATATAGCAAATCTAATAAAATAAAGAGTTATAACAAACAAAGCCCTTACAGAAAACAATGAAGTGACCCAATACCACATGAAGAATTAAATGTGCCAGTTTTATGAGACAGAAGTCCAAAGTGTAGTTGTTGTTCTTTGGATTTATTATCCTTACTTGACCAGAAGGTCTCAGGTAAGATAAAACAATATAAAAATAAAATGTTAAAATCAGTTAAAACACTTTGGTCTTGAATGTTTCCAGTATAAAAAGGCATAGCAGAATGGTCGTTTCAACGGCCTTAGCAAGAGAGTAGTCTTGACACACTTAGGGTGTCTGGCATTATTTTTCTCAATTTGGATCAAAGATACATCAAAACACTTATTATGGTTATGGTTATTAGCTAGAGAGAGACAAGATAGATATTGATTGTAGCGAACATCATGTATATACCACTTCCCAAGCCAGCGGTGGTAGCTCACTGGGTGCAGAGTAAATGGGAGTGCTTTGAAATTTTTATAATTGATGATCTGAAAAGTGCCAGTTCTGATATTACCATTCTCTTTGATACAACACAGGGACAATAATATTAGGTTGTATACATTATCCTTAGTAAGCAACATTCCTCAAACTAATCTGTATTATAATTATTTTGTCTCCTTCTTTCTCTCACAGGTGAATAAAAACATAATTCATCACAAGGATAAGGTATGGGAAGGCTCATGTTTTCTGCATTCTCCCAGTGTTCCTATTACTGCCCCCTGCCATCCCACCCTCAAAACACCTTACTGTAATTTACTGTATAATTCATTACATTTTTGGCCTCTGCTTAGGGCAGGCTTTACTGTTAAACAAATGGAACATCCCAAGTGTCATTTCTGTGGTGGTAGAGGCTATAATGAACTGACTGTTTAGTAATCTTCACCTCCATCTATCACTTTGCTTAGCAGGCAAAAACCAACAAGCAAAATACCACCAGGAGGGGTGAGCACAGCCGTCGGCTTTCAACATTCCTTGCCTTTTTGCAGCCTTGACATTTATGGGCTATTCAGTCTTTATCTTTTCCAGGTCAGAAGTTACTGGGTCAGAGGATCTGCCTCATACAAATTTAAATAAGGACTGGCCCTAGTAGGCACTCAACAGGACGCATGTCTATGCTGAAGGAGTCTAAATCATTTTCACATCTGGTATCTTAGATTATTTATTAGTTTCATGGCCCTAACCTCAAGCTCAGAGTCAGAGGAGAATGAGCTGGCTGAGGCCAGGACTGCTGCACCACCAGGTTCCCTGGAAGTGAACCTGAGGCTAGTGGAACCTACAGAACCTGAGCCAGAACCCTCACAGATGCCTTTTGCCAAGTCCCATTTGCCTGAAGAGTCAAGTACTTTCTCTACAGGCCTACCCAACAAAATTCACCAGGCCAGCAAGCCACAGAAGAGAAAAGAAGTGCTCCAGGTTAGGAAGTTGGCCCTTTAAGGATACCTACTCTTTGGGCATGGAGCTTGAGAAAGGTAAACTGGATGGAGGGGTTCATAAGGCCTCAATTCACCTCTAGTCTTTTTGTTCACTTGGAGCTTTCTACACCCCTGCATCTATTTTGCCTTGTGAATATCTGCTATGGACAGATCAGAACCACCATAAACAAAAACACATTTACCCAAAGACCTTTGATTCTGCATTCTATTTATCCTTACTTTTCTCTCTCTCTCTCTCCCCCCCCCCCTGCTTTAGCTAACCCCATATTTGGGTTTCCAGCTTTATGGTGAGGTCTTTGCCACTCTTGTACGTGGCAGGCTGGTTTATCTGAATGGGAAATTTGCACCCAAGCCAGAAGGGGACCTGCTTGTGACAGAGAGAAAGATGCCTACAAGAATCTCATCACCCTACTACTAATGAGGAAGATAGTATGACAAATGTACTAGCTAAACACAAATCTGGGCAGAAGAGAAGCTGGAAGAATAGAAGAGGAGAGGAGAGTGGAATCTACACACATACAAAAAATGCTGTGAAAATGCTTTTTAAAAAAATGTTTTGAAAAATACATTGAATTTTGCATAGCTCACTGTCACCATCTAGTGTCACATTTGTATATTGCACTTTACAACACATTTAAAACGTTTTATTTGCAGCTGTATAGCTGAGTCCGAGGATGAGTAACATAAAGAATAAACTGCAATCACATAGTCTATTGTCTCAGTGAGAGCAGCTGCTACACTTTCTGAATTTTTCTACAACTGCTGAATAAATAAAATGAGGTCAACAGCTCCAGCTGATATGTCAAGGATATGCAACAATGGAACAGTAAAAAGTTATTGTAGCCACTCCCTCATGCCTTCTTGCTTTCCAGAAGTATAAATAAGGATAATAAAAAATCAGGGTCATGGGGGAACAGGACAAAAAGTCTGGGTGATCTCACAGCTCTTGATGCTTCATCTCAAAGTGTTTATTTTGCAAATCATTGATCTGATTTTCAAATCTAATGTAGCACAGTGCTCACAGTGAATCAAACAGTAACATGTCAAAGTGTGATGAGTTCTGAATAAGTATTCTTTCACTATGGTTATGGCCTTAGAAATTAGAGAAAGAGGCTTTCTATATAACTGTTTAATCAAAGTATGATCTATTGATTTCCTGGTCAGAATATGATCAAAATCGGATGTCAAGTAAACGTGTTTGAATTGTGCATCTTTCGATTCTTGCAGTTGCTCTAATCTTTAGAGCAAGGATGAGAAACCTGCAGTCCTCCAGATGTTGGACTATACCTCCTATCATTCCTGACCATCCTGGCTGAGTTTTATTGGAGTTGGGAGTTAAAATGAATTAGAGGGTTACATATTTTAAGTCCTCTCTCAGACAAACTATACTGAATGCAAAACGAGGCACAGTGCTCTGCTTGCAACATCCATGAGGTTTTAAGACTGCCACTGCCAGCCAAGCAATCCTGAATAATTTATTTTTCTCCTATTTGACTTAATTTGAAAATCCATAGAAACAAAGTAATCACTTTGTCAAAACTAAAAGGCAGCATTTCCCTTTGACAGTGCTGTGCTAGAACATACATCCTGCCAGAGCATTTGGACCCTAGTGTTTATTAGCTGGCAAGGGCTCATGGTACATAAAAATGCTAAACTAAACATTAGAGGGCTTAATATCACAGAAATACAAGTTGCCCCAGTAAAAGGACAGATTCTCAGAATGAAGTACTGTATATGGTCTGATACAAAGTGAGCTTCCTTGAAAATGCAAACGCTACAAAGGAAAATTGTGAGAAAGGGTAGAAAGGAAGTAATTCAGTCACTGAAACCAGAGAAACTTGCTATCTTCTAGTGGGATAATGGCATTCAGATGGTGCAATTGAAGATTATTGGTGCTCTTGTGCAACAAACCTTCCTCCAAACTTTTTGCAAAAAGGAAAGTGATGAAGGAATGCGCTGGAAAAACAATTGTTTGATGCAACATTGTCTAACCTCCCCTCAGACAAATCAGAATGAATGTTGAATAAATAGCTGGTGTTGTCTAACCTCCCTGCCATCTTTGTGAAAACCAAATCAGGGTGAATGTTCAATAAAACGGCTGTCTGGAGGTCCCATTGGCCCCAGGCCACTGCTCATCATAGCCAGTAGATATACTAGGTTTCATCACCTCAGTCTAGAAATAGGACCTTGCCTTGTAAGGGAATTTTACAGGGATTCTGGTGAAGCAGAAAGAATTCCACTTCTCTTCTTCTCCCCTCATTGTGCTGAGGTTGCTCAAGCTCAGCTACTATTTACACTAATTGCATTCATGACGTTAATGTCTAGTTTGGCCCTCAGAAGTTCAAACTACTGTATTACAGAATTTGGCTAGTTCTGCCCCCTCCTGTCTGGTCACCATTGTTCTATTACTGAAATGAAGCTAGGGGCAGGGGGTGGGAGGTGGGGAGGTTGCTCAGCAATCATATGAGAGCTCTGAAAACACTAATATGAACTCGGCATGACACAAATGCATGCATCTCAGCTACATACATTTTTTAAGCAAAAAAATAGTTGTGGTCTAGCCATAGAGAAGTTGCTGCACTGCACATTGAAACTCTTTGTAGATCAAGTGAACCCATTAGGAAATTAAAAAAGAAATATGAGGAAAGCAAGATAAATATATTTACAGTGGGCTATTGTCTACTGACAGCTAAAGGTGCTCTACTGTGATCTTAAGGAACATGTGCAACTTACGTTTTTATACTACTCGCCCAGGGGAAAACAATTAGTGAAGTTGTAGCATCTGTCCCCAGACTGCAAGACAGTCAGGACACAGTTGTGTGTAGTGAATTGTTGCTTGTCTCCTATTAATTGCCTTTTGCCACTTTCAGCTTTACCTGGTTACTTCAACGTACAGAAGCAGACAAGCAGTATACCTCTGTGAACCAGCTGCTCTTACAATATGTCTGCATAGTACTTATTTCAGTTATTAGATGCACTCATCTGCAGTTCCCTTACATGTCAGGGACTGGCAGAATGCTGACGAGTGCACACAGGGAGAAAGGGGGCTGGTGTCTGACTCGGGAGAGGGGGCTAGTGATTTGTGGGGAACTGTACCAGGCAGGAGGCAACAGTCGGAGGCAGAAGGAGCTTCAGAGCTGAAGGGTGGATCACAGGATGGGTTGGAGGGAAAAGAAGGAGCAAGTCAGGCAAAAAAAGGAACACAGAATAACACACAGGTCACCCTATTTCTTGCGAGGAGGGGGATTTCTTCAGTCAGGCTCTGCCAATAAGCAGGCAAGCACAGTTACTTGTTAACCCCATTATTAATCTAGAATTCACTGTTCCTGGCAAACTATAACCAGCGACTGCTCAACATGCCAGTGTTAGACAACTACAATAAAGAATAAAACTTCAATTTTATATAGTTTCAGGGATTTCAGACAGAACCAAACATAATGGTCCAGTTGTCCAGTTTCTCTCCGTTCTGTGAGGGAAGCAACTTCTACAGAAGTTGAGGCAGCATAGGAAGATTCTCTGTGTTGCCCAAAGAACAAGGAAAATAAGTCTCCTTCAGATCTTTGTTTGCATGATATTTAACTGTCCAGCTTCTAACAGGTGTAGAATTCCCAGGCAAGGAAGGCCAAAGGCATTAGATAGCACAGAACTCTCTGGGAGAAAACCAAGGAGTAAGTAAGTTGGAGGCTGTGTTCTAAAGATAAGCTCATATTCACAAGGAGCCTGGTGACCAATGACAGTCACTGGAAGATTTTTCAGAAGAGGAGAGAAACAAGAGGGAGGTGTGCTAGCATTTATCTGATCTAAGATCTGTTTGTTTTGCTCAGCCCCAGCTTGCCATGTATTTAAGGTCAGGGGTGAGCAGTGTGTTCCTAGTGCTGCAAGCAGCAGGTTGGACTCCTGTTCGGCGGCCTCTGGTTTTAACTCAGTGTTGCCGCACCATGGCTTCTCAAAACCTATCTCTGCCACCTCCAGCACCTCTGCTACAGCCACTGTCTGTTCCAGACAGGTTATTGCTGGGCCCTGGGCCCTCCAATTGCCCTCCCCGGATCTTGTCTGCAGGCTGTCGACAGCTCATAGGACATGTCCACAAAGAGATGATCCAGGTAAGAAATAAAATCCTAATTCCTTGTGTGCTCCTACTTCAGCTTCTACTTAATGCGTTTCCAGCTTTCAAGTATCACCCTGACTATTTAATTATTCATTAGTCTATGGATTTTTTTTTAAATCAGAAGTAATGTTCTTAACTAATACAATCTAGATTTATGGAAAATCATTATTATTTAGCCACAGAATTTCTTGATAACCAGAAGCATGATTTTCTTCCTCTGTAATGGGACTATTATTTCTGGTTATTTCCCCATTTTTAAGAACTTGATTCCACTGAGCTCATGTGAGTCTCAGGCTTTCCTCTAATCTAGATCCACTAAGCATATATAAAACTTTGAAAACCCAACTCTTTAAATCTAGACAAACTTCTGCTATTTAGATCTCATGGTGCTTATTCCTCTGTATGTCAGTCAGGAAGACAGATATTCCTTTGAGATCCATTACCCAGAAAGGATTGCTAACTATTCATGGGAGTGATCTCAGGCTTAGTAGCAGGCAAATATATCACTAAATTGGAGGCATGTAATTTCTGTGTATAATCTGGCTAGGAGCCATGTTAAGAAATAGGGAGCTCCACGCTGACCTGCATTTTGAGGCCCCATGAGAGAGGACTTGTATATAAATACAGACGCCTTCTGTGTTTATGACGCTTGAAATCTGCTCTATCAGAAAACCTACTTAACTCTCACCAGAGTGTGTGAGGCTTTAGGATTCAACATTTCCACTTACACAGGAGCATGGCTGTTCATAAAGTGAGAGTTATCAATGTATTATATGATGCAAAGAAATAAAGAAGCAAGAGCAGGATCTCAGCTGTGGCTGAGTAACTCTACTGTGGGAGTATTCTCTTCTGTAACAGCATTTTAGACTTTGTTCAGCCCTTTCTGGATGTTGTCTTTTGTCCATCAAAGTGTATAGAAACTTTTAATGGGTTATCTCTTCCTCCTATGAATGCCACTGTCAGAATCCACAGGCATAAATACACTTGCACTGCCAGCCTTGGGAAAGTTTCTTTGAACACTGATTATCTTCTCTGTTGCCCTCAGATAATGGATGAGATCAAGCTTGGAATCCAGTATGCATTTCAGACACAGAACCCTCTCACATTGGCTGTCAGTGGCACCGGCCATTGTGCCATGGAAGCAGCTTTCTTGAACATGGTGGAGCAGGGAGACAAAGTGCTCATAGCTATGAATGGATTTTGGGGTGAACGTGCAACTGGCATTGCCAAAAGACTTGGTATGTTTTTTGGAACCTTTTCCTTCAAACCTATCATTCCTTTATAGTATTATTTATTTCGTTTATTCATTGCTTACTGCATAATACGTTTCAAAGTAACTTAAGAGTTGTAAAACCACACTGAATGCAAATTTTGAAACACCAGCCACCACCACTCATGTAAGGGTGAGAATAATGGCTGTATAATATGAAATCCAGTGCAACAGGATGTATTGGGGCTACTGCAATCTGCTGTGCAACCAGGCCACAAGAACCTTCTCTGCTAGTGCGACTTGTACACCACTATGGGACTGCAGCTTAACACTTAGTTGAATTCCTCCCAATTTGTTTTTAATAATCAAACGCTTCTTTCCTGCTCCAAGTTTAATCATCATATACTCTAGAGGTTCCCATGGAGCTTGAATGGACTTTGGAAAAGGTGCTGCTATGTACTTGTTAATACATGACCCATTTCAAACAGAAGCGCCTGTGGCTCTCTTAACGTAACTTGCTGTGAACTGCTACCAAGTGAGAAGTGATTTGCTGTCTTCCCATCAGTCCACCAGGAATGGTACTCCACCCCTAAACCTAAAACTTGCATTCTCATGTGTTGGCTATTTTGATGGACTTTGTTGAGCTAAATCAGGGGTAGGGAACCTTTTTCACACCAAGGGTCTGATCAAGAGCTGATTCATTCCCTGCAGGTCAGTTTTGACAGATGGGCAGGACCATACCTCTCAAATCACCTGACGTCATAATGCCGTCAAGTGAAAATGTCAAAGAAGCTCACTGTCATAACCAATCAGCTGAACCAAGAATCCAGAGTCTTCAACCTGTGTCTAGATTGTAATTTCTCCTGGTCCAAACCACTTTTCAAATATAGTTTCAGGGTGCACTGAGGCATACTCAGTCCTTATTAGCACACGTCTCATTCCTTTTCAGGGATCACCAAAATCCAAACTAGTCAAGTGAAGCCTCTAAAAGCTGCTTAGTCAGGCCCTCTTCTTTTAAATCCAAGGAAACTGAAACCCAGTGAAATTACCCTCTATGAGTGATTTTGAGCCAGTCACTATCTGCCAGCCTAACCTACTTCAGAGGGTCCTTGGCAGAAAGGTGGGATATAAATATAATAATAATAAATATAGAATATTATATCCTACCTTCCCCTAGAAGGGTTTTATTATTATCTAATTGGAATGAATGTTGGTGCTTCACAGGAGCCTTAGGAACAGTTTTGTCCTTTGCTTCTCCTTTAACAAAGTTCAAGTAACATTATTTGTAATCCATTACCTTTTTTAGGAGCAGACGTTCATCAGCTAGTAAAGGCCCCTGGAGAGTGTTTCACTCTAGAAGAAATAGAAAAGGTGAGTAATGTGAGCAAAGTAGCTGAAAGTAGCAGCAAAGAGCATGTTTATTGGGAGAGTTTGTATCCTGAAAGGCAGGATATTATATAGATAATTTAGATACATAAATACAGCTCTAAGTGAAACCTGCAGTCTATGTCTTTCTTATGTAAATGGTTGGGACAACCAGTTCATAGCAATTTAGTCTCCCACCTACTAGGAGAATATTACTGTTCACCTACTCCTCCCCTGTTTTTTTGTCTTGTCTGACTCTTTGCCCCCCTGTTGCCTCTCCTAGGGTTTAGTGACACATGCTCCCTTTTTATTTTTCATCACACATGGAGAATCCTCCACTGGAGTGCTTCAGCCCCTGGATGGCCTTGGAGAACTCTGTCACAGGTCAGTGAGTCATGGAGGTCAAACACGTATTTGCCTCAGAAACAAAGGCCTCAAGGCTGCAGTCTAAGCTGCCTAATTTACTGTGGGCCCACCCATACCTTGGCTTACTGTGGATTGTGAACCCCTTGTGCCTCCGTTAATTCCCCCTTGCCCATGTGGCATTCTCCTTCAACTACTGCTGTACCACACTTTCTTTTCCCTAAATCCAAAGATTCCCTATGCTTAGAAAATCTGAATAAGAGAGCTGTTATCAATTGCTTAAACCAAATGAAAGACACAAGGAGCTCCACATCTACTATATCTTTTGGAAAGTTGTTTGTTTGTTCACTGTGCATTTGGAGCTCTCTTAATATAGCATAACTAAGTTTTCTTCTGACTCAAACCTCAGTGTTTGTTTTTTTGTTTGTTTAGAATTAATATTCAGTCAACCACAGAAAAAGTACAAGCCTCCATTTTGCTCATTGTGAAACATGGTAACTGGTTAGATAAGGATACTAACATTTACTCTTACATTCTTGTGCACTTCCTGGATACCCACATCTGCCCAGAATGGAAAAGAGAGAGCAGCAGGGGAAGACCAATTGAGTGGGGGGAGAGAGAAACCCAGCCCAGATGCATTCCACCAAGCTCTGCCAACTGGCATCAATGTCTAACAGTGAAATAGCAATGAATATGACTTAAAAACAACAGAATGTGTGGTAGTGCACTTGCACACAGAGAAATCTGATCTAGATGACCTTTTTGCAAGTTAAGCCCTGCCTTCCATAGCATGCTAAATCTCTATTCTTTCCTTCCTCGTTTTAGATATAATTGTTTACTACTGGTGGATGCTGTAGCATCACTGGGTGGAGCTCCAATTCTTATGGACCAGCAAGGTGAGCAAGATGTAACAATCTGTCATTGTAGCACAAATGTTTACCATTGATGTAGAAATGGTTTGAGGTTCCTAATCAGAATAACTTGCATCTTTCCTTCATCATCATTGGAGAAGGCAGAAGATAAAGGCAGAAGATTTGCTAAGAGAAGAGGAATACAAAATATAGTATAGGAGATGCTCTCTGGCCTTTGCCACATTCTAGAGGACAAGTAGGTAAATCTGAAACTAGTGTCCAAGCTTCTCCCTAAGTATATGAAAGTCTTCCCCAACTTGGTGTCCTGCAGATGTTCTGGATTACAACTCCCACCAGCAAGAAGTGCATCCAAAACATCTGGAGGTCACCAGGTTGGGGAAGTAATTTATGACATTAGTAATAAACAAACAAGTATCTTGCCTAACATCTCAATTTTTCCTCCCATGGACTACTTGAAAATTGCTGAGGATCTTGGCAGACCACTTAATCATTTTCATGCCTGTTATAGCAATTGTAATGCACTGTGTTAGGTGCTGTATGATTATTTGTGTTTTTACAGACATGCAATGGAAACTTGTGGTCCACAGGCCACCATTTGAGAAGCACTGCTCTATACATATTGCACTTATATTGGCTTTATTTCATTTTTAATTGCCACAACTTTCCACAAACAATCCTGGTAGCACAGAACTGACCAGGACATCTGCCATAGTGAAGGAACACTTATTAACATTTTTTCTCCCCTGTTGAGCACACAGGAATTGACATCCTCTACTCAGGCTCCCAGAAAGTCTTAAATGCACCACCTGGTGCTTCACCCATTTCTTTCAGCCAGAGAGCAAGGTAAGCAAAAAAATATTTGCTTTGGGGAGATGTTATTTCCAACTGGATGTTAGGCAAGTCAATGCTTTATAGAAGACAGTCATTGAGATACGGGAAATGATAGGAGGCTCATTTCCCTCCTAAAGACACTGAGCTGGATCCAAAAATGGACTTCCATGTGCAGAAGGGGTCCTCAGCTAACCAAATAACTGCTTTATACCTTGGCACTAAAGTGTTGTGAGAGAAGAATGAAGCTCATCCAAAAATGCTCTTCAGCTTCTGCAACAGCTTGTTTATGCTCTACATAAACTCTACAAATTATCAAAAATGCCATGGTGTTTTCCTACCATTCCATTCTTTGGGTTCAACTCACTGAACTAAGTGACCCCCACATCTCACAGAATTCAACCTCTGTGCCTTCTTGCAAGCTCCAGGTTCAAGCACCTCATATTATCTACATTTTCCTGCTTGTTTCTAACAAAGGGGCTAAGTGAGGCCACATGGCATTGAAAATCCCACATGAATCAATTCCACTGGGCAATACTATTATATACATCCCAATCTCCCAACTGTGAGTGGTTTCCATGGAATAAAAGTCACTGGAAAGTAATGGCATTTGTGATCTAAAGCTGAATTTACATACACATAGGCTCAGCATGAGATGGAAAGTTCACAGCATTACTGCTCCAATAGTCTGCCCCTCTACTGGGTTTCTAATAGACTCCTTGGTGCCAAAGTACTGGATTCTCGTGGAGAGAAAATCAATACCTCTATGACTCTTCCAGGTTCTGTTCTGGCACTGCCACTCCATTGCTCTTTCACACACACACATTAGCACTATTTAGTCTATGTGGAAACTAACTATGTTGTTGGATTCCAACCCCCATCAACCTCAGCCATCATGGCTAATGGTTAGGGATGACAGAAGCTGAAGTTCAACATCTGAAGAGCCAGTTTCCTCCCTCCACTGAACTGTGAGGTTTACAGCAAATACACTAGGGGTAGGAGGTGCACAAAGAATGTGATTCACTGGTAGATTTCCTTCAGGTGATCAATATTTGCATTTGCATTTTGTCAGGAAGAAGATTTACAGTAGGAAGACGAAACCAATCTCCTTTTATCTGGACATGGAGGAGCTGGCTCAATACTGGGGCTGCAACGATCAGCCAAGAAAGTGAGAGCTAATTCTATGGCTTCTCATTCTCCTCACTTTTAAAGTAGTTTCCTGGCCTCCAGAAATGGATTAGGCCCTGGACCATTACTGAGCAGCAGATCTGCACTACCATTTCTTCCCCCAATCTTTCTATCATATGGCTCGGAAAGCAGGTGGGGTAAGAGAAAAGGCTTTGAATGGAAATATGGCAGGGAACAGCTCATTCTCTCACATGCAACTCTTGGGGAGGGAGGGAGACAGAGAGCACACTTGCTGCTTGCTTACAATTCAAAGCACAAAAACAAGCACTGGGCAGCACCTAGTTTGACATAGGCTTCAATTGAGAATATGACAATACTTCCTCGCTTCACTTTCCTGTCACTATTTTGTTTTGGCATGGGGCGGGGTGTTGATAGGTAGGATATATATTGTGAAGCAGTTTCTGATAGATTGGTCCATGCAAATTGAGCATCTCCCTTACATGTTGCATGTATCTTTGCAGGTATCATCATACTGCACCCATCAACACGTTTTTCTGTCTGCGAGAAGGCTTGGCAATTCTTGCAGAAAAGGTCAGTCAGTGTGGGAGACTGAAAGGCCTACAGGTTGAAGTAGTAGAGAAACAAAGGAAGATACTGAAATCAAGATATGTCTGCTGCTTAGTTAAGAATGGGCATATTAGAGTGGATCCAGATATTATTCAGCAATCATATTCACTGTGACCTCATTAGTAATAAACTTACAATGCATAAAAAGTCAATGTGTTCCTAAAAGGTGTAGTAGATTAATTTTTGCCCTGAATGTCCATCCAGGACTTCCCAAAGTATGTCTCCCCTATATGATTTTCTGGAAGCAATAATGGTTATAACACTTGTGAAATTAGTGGGGGGGGGGAGAGGAATGCTGCATAATGTATGAAGCACCTTAGTTCTCATAGAAGGAACTAATATAGAACCAGTATAACCCTTTCTTGAATGGAAGCAGAATGAGGACTACTGAAGGCTGATGCCTGCCTGATGCAATCCTAACCCTACTTACTTGAGCGTACGTCCCATTTTATTCAACAGGACTTACTTCTGAATAGACATGGTTAGGTCTGCAGCCTTAGTTTCTAAGCAAGCCCTTGGTTTATTCACAACTGGTAAGGAGTATATTACTTTGTATGATGCGGACCCTAAGAAACAAATGAGTACCATACTAATTTTATAATGTTGGATGCTAATTGGTCAGAACTGACAAAGCCAAACTCAATTACAAACCTATCATTTTTAAAGATGAAAGGGTAGTATCCAACTAAATAATTCTGCTAGCGCATACAGTTTTGGCTGCAGAACGCAACTTCCTCTCCCTGCTCACAAAATAACATATTTTGGGGGCACATGAGAGAGAGGAAATTCCAATGCACAGTCAAAGGTACTTGTGATAGCAGAACTGTTTAGTTAAATACCCACCCACTGTGTCCATCCTAATATAATATGCCTGCTATGTAGAGATAGTTGCATTTGAAATAGTTTTTATTTCCTACACATGAAAATAAAAGTGCATTTTGTATACAGGGGCTAGAAAATTCCTGGAAGCTTCACAAGGAGAACAGCCTGGACCTGTGTGCAGGGCTACAGAAGTTAGGCCTCCAGCTTTTTGTGAAAGAACCGGTAGGATGCAAACCACAATAATTAACTCCACATTCTGTGCTGAGTAATCACCATTGAAATGAACAAGAGAACTAAGTTGTATGTGTGCTGCTGCATTTTATAGGACCTGCTTTGAGACGGATGGAGAAAGGAATAGACAATGACAGTAACTGCAGGCCTGTTGAATATTATATACCGAGGGTAATGAGGTATGAGAAGGGAACCAGAGATAAGCCAGAGAGACTTTGTTCTAGCAACATTAGTCTATTAACTTAGGCTGGCACTAAGGCAATAGTGTTTCCACAGCTGAGTGTAGTTTGAAAGCAGGATAGCTGATCATTTACTGCATGAGCATCTCACTTTTCAGCACCAATCAACAGGTAACTAGAAATTATAGCGAAACCAAAATGTACAGGACGGAATGTGAAACATATATGAAGCCAAATTTTAACACTCAGAAACCATTCTCTCTAGCCTTGCACAGAATCAAGCTCACCACAGACAAATGGTCAGTGAGTGGAGATTCCTAGTGTGAGAAGGTCCCATGCAAGCAAGGAGAGAAATCATTAGGGTGAGGGCATTTCATCCAGATGGTGCAGCTTGCTAGAAATCCTGGGAAATTGAAGCATTTACATGCATTCAGAAATTACCTGGGTGCCTTTGACTCATTCTCTTTATTTTTCAGGATGCAAGGCTTCCAACAGTCAACACTGTCTTTGTACCTGAGGGATATGACTGGAAGGAAATCACTGACTACATTATGAAAAGGCATGGGATTGAGATTTCAGGAGGCCTGGGTGCTTCAGCAGGCAAGGTAGATATTGTCTCGGGGCAGTTAATGAGAAATAAACTAAGGTGTTTGAAGACAGGACTGTCTGGTTTTCAACAAAAAGCAAAGCATTTTGTAAATATTTTATTTCTCCACAAACCTGGCTTTTACTACTTAAGCTTTGTGTGTGAAAGCAGATGAATATTCAAACATGTAATCCCCCACCCTAGCCTCTGATGCAGAGGAATTGAAAGAGAAGTGAATCAGTTATTTATACCTCTAATTAGAATTGACCTTATTTACATGGTTTCCATGCCATTGAGATGCTGAACTCAATCACTTTCTCATTTAGACTAAGATGAGGGCTGGGTCTTTCTAAGAGAATGAGTTGCAGAACACTTACTCGATTTTTTATATTATCTCATCACTAGGTTCTCCGAATAGGATTGATGGGCTATAACTCCACTAAATACAATGTTGACAGAGTCCTCCATGCTCTGGAAGATGCTCTCCAGCACTGTCTCAAGAACAAGCTATAAGACCTCACCCCATTGCTTTTTACACAGAAGATCCAGAATAGTCAGTGACACTTAAAACATGCAAGGTATCAGAGGCACATTCCACATAAAGTGCTTTCCCTTTTCTTTATTCCATAATGTACCTATAGTTTACAATTCACAAGAGTAAACTTTGTTTTCACTGCATGCTATACTGCGCACACTTACTAGTGCTGTTATGCCCTTTGTATTTTTCTTCAACAAATGTGTGCTCCCATTGTGCAAGTTGTTATATGCTCATAAACTCACACATATGTCTGGATGTATGTAAATAGAAGAGTCTCTGTAGTTTCTGCCTCTCATTTTGCTGTTGAATCATTGTGTGAAAAAGTCTTGAAAGGATAAGGAAAGAAACACAAAGGCTGGAACCAGATGCCAGTTTTCAGAAGAAAAGCCATAACTTACTGTGAAGTTGCATGCACTTTCAGTCTGATCAAACAGCTCTTAAACTGTTTTTGAAGAGCTTAAAAATGAGTACATATGTGCCTCTAGTGTCAATGGTGTGATTATGCCACCTAGCAATGTCTGAAAAGGCTACAACATGTACCTAGCCTACTGACAATAGAGTAAATTGGATGAAAGCTGGGAGCGGGGGAATCACCCCAAGATATGATTGCATGTTAGCTTTAGACCAAGTTTAAAATAGAAGACCTATCCCTAAGCTACCTGTACAAAGTACAAGATGATAAACATCAACTCTCCCACCCCATGCTGCTATTAAAAAGTTTGAATACACAACTGATGCCTAATAGTCTAAGCCATTTACACCTTTGGGACTTTCCCATGAATGTTAAGCTATTGAAAATGAACCAGACACTGTTTGTGTTCTGACCTGAAGTGCACTTTAGAAGATAATTTTCTTCATTTCATGTTTTGCCAGTTCTCTGAATATAGAAAAGCAAAAGGAAGCTGTTCCTCCAAGAGACACTTAACTGCAAAAAGTCATCTTCCCACCCTAACATCTATTTTACTCAGAGGTACTATGTTCATTTGCCTTGATAGAAATGAAAAGCCTACATTTGTAGGTCGTGGAGGTGGAGAGCGCAGCAGTAGCTGCTCTTTCTGCATCTCACTCTCAGTCCTACTTAACTTAGCTGCTACTGCTAGCTCAACCCCTGGAAAAGATTTTCCTATGACTTCATCCTGATCAAGAACTATAATATGTCTCTCCTCCATTCATTCTACTTTGGATTATACCTGGCAACCAAATCTACACATGCAAAATGCATGTTTACAGAAGAGTGTGGTTGCATTTTTCTTATCTGTCCTACGAATCCAATTTTCATTCTATTCTAGGAGCACAATTCTTTATAGCAGGCATGCACATCACCACCTGGATCTGGCTGATAAGAAGGGCACTCACTGCTGGATCAGATCATAGGTTCATTCTGTTGCCTACAGCAGCCAGCCAGATGCTTCAAGGAAACCCATCAGCCAGTCATAGAGACATTAGCCTTCTCTAGTTTGTATGTCATGGTAAACCATAGTAAGTTTCTAATGAATGCAACTTTCTGTGTCATTTGCCTCCTCCCTGCTAGCCCATATAGCAGGTGGAGGAACTATTAACTCCCATCATCCCTGGCTATCTGTTCCAAGAGTTGACCTAGCACCTGGGGCCAAACGTTCCCCACACCTGAAAGATACCAGCTGTGATCCTTGGCTTGGTGCTATGACTGAATCAAGAACCCTAGTTTGTTTCATTCCAGATTGACTAGAGATAGTGGTTTGATGAGGTTGAAACAAAACTACAATCCCTGATTCAGTCATAATGCTAAGCCAGGGATAATGGTTCGTTCCCTCCATGTACTAGTAGGGAGACAAACAGCACAGAAAGGTGAACTCAGAGGAAACCTTTACCATTGTTTAGCTCCAGTAGCAACTGGTATTCAGATTACTCCCATATCTGAAACTGGAGGTTCCATTTGCCTGCCATAGGTAGAACCCATTTGTTAGGTCTGTCCTCCATAATATTATTAATTGCTTTCCAAAGGAAGGGAAATACACAAATATTCCTGCACCCTTCCTCAGGATTTACTCCCAGCCTCACAGGGTTGTGAGGATAAAATGGAGAGGACACCTACATACATCACCTTGAGCTCCTTGAGGAAAAGGTGGGATATAAATGCAATCAATCAATGCTTATAGTTTAGAAAATGGGAATTCTTACCATGAATTTTTGTTTGGGGATCCAGATGGAGAATATTCCTCTGATAAGGATGACATGCAGAGTCGTACAATTCTCTGCCTCCTCTCTCAGGGGATAAGCCATCTCCCTCACCAAATCAAGTGGCAGAGCAGACAACCCCACACCCCTAAACAAATTCACTCAAATATGCAATCAACAGAGAAAACATGAGAACAGGAAGGAAAGGATACCCCAGGCCGAGGAAATGCAACTAGTCAAATAAGCGGCACCAAAACCCTAAAAAGCCCCAAAGACACACAGAGACACACTGATTTGGGACAACCCTCCAAAACCCCTTACTTCCAGCAAAGGAAGTGAGAGGAATATCCTATCTCTAGACATAGCCCCCCCCCCCCGAGGCAGAAATGTTGGGAGTCTAAATAAAAGTTCACCCCCCAAAAACTCCTGTAGGAGAACTACTGAGGGAGGAGTAATGACAGAAATAAAAGAGGGGGCAGCATGTGTCCTCAGACCAAAAGAAATAGTGCCCACCCAACTTGCCTCTGCTGAGTGTTAAAGAAGGGGGTCAATGAGGCCAATAGCCCCCAAAAGGAAGCAGACCCAGTACAAAAACTAAGGGAACTGTCAAATACAGAGCAGAATGGAGCATAAAGGATGGCAGGTGTGTGTGGAGAAAACCCTGCTCCAAAATGGAACTCCCGCCTAGACAATTTATCAAGGGACCCTCCTCACAGCTGCTCCACTTCCTCAAAATGTGTGGCTGAGGTTGCCAAAAATATGGGGACATTGGGTGATCTGGGTAGTGGGAATAGCTGGAATGCCCAGCAAAAAAGGCAGGAGCCAAAACTGGGTGATCTAGCAGAGAATGGTGATCTGGAAAGCCCAGGCAGATGGTGTAGGAGGCTGCAAAACAAACTGCCCCCCCCCAAGCACTCACAGATATTGCGCAGTCAAAGCCTGTTCTAAAAATGCTACTGCTACCTAGTTTATTTGCAGGACATGCCAAAAACTCCAGAAGCTGCTTCACAGAAATGTGGCCAAGTAGACACTGCACATAAAAAAACAAAAACACCCCTCACTCTGTAGCCACCAGAAGGGACTAGAGCTGGAATGAAGAAAGTGAAAATGTGCTGAGGTAAAAATATAATCCAAACACTCAAAGCAAACCAGAAACACACTCACAACAACAGTAAAAAGAAAAATGAGAGGAGAGGTGGGTGAAAAAAGGCAAGAAACTGACTAAAAAACACAGCCAAAGAAGCGGGAAGACAAGCCTCTATGACAGCCGATCAGGCCCAAATCTTCATGGAACACAGTCAGGATCAGTTTGGGGAGGGAGATGGCGCCTCCTCCTGTTCAGAAGGCAGAAGACGGTGTAATATCAATATCCCCCTGATATGTCAATATCAGGGGAAGAGGTCATTCCTATCAAAGGAACTGTTTACCATCTGGATCCAGCAAACATGCATTTTATTTGGGATTGCTACATGTCATTGTTTTATGTTACTTTTTTAAATGTTTAATAGGCTTTTACATTTTGAATTCTTTTCAATAAGATGCTGGTTCCTTATGCATGAAAAACAGAGTAAAACTGAGAGATAAGAACTAAATTATTAGGAGAGAACACTTAAAAGTGAACTTATGGTAGTGGGGCCAAGACTATTTTCTCTTTGAAAGGGTTTAGATTAATCTCCAGCATCCTAAGTGTATGCTTGAAGACAAAGATATACTGACCCTCATGTCAGTTTCTCCACCATGCCCATGATCTAGTCAGTTTGTTCAACTACACCAACTGGATCTCAGCCTCTGGAATGGACAGAATACCTCTTTCACTTTATACCCTGCTTTCAAGATACTATAGTTTGGACTATATATAGGGACGCGGGTGGCGCTGTGGTCTAAACCACTGAGCCTCTTGGGCTTGCTGATCAGAAGATCGGTGGTTCAAATCCCTGCAACGGGGTGAGCTCCTGTTGCTCAGTCCCAGCTCCTGCCAACCTAGCAGTTCAAAAGCACACCAAAAATGCAAGTAAATAAATAGGTACCACTCCAGTGGGAAGATAAACGGTGTTTCCGTGCACTGCTCTGGTTTCGCCAGAAGCGGTTTAGTCATGCCGGCCACATGACCCAGAAAAACTGTCTGCAGACAAACGTCAGGTCTCTCAGCCTATAAACCGAGATGAGTGCTGCAACCCCAGTCGTCTGCGACTGGACTTAACTGTCAGGGGTCCTTTACCTTTACCTTTTATATGTGTTCAGTTGAGTTGGAATAAATATAATGGCTCGAGCAGCCTGGGGTGTAAGTGGTGGACCAGAAATTTTTGGGGTCACTTCAAGTTCCTAAGATTCTTCAAATAAAAATGTTTTCCTTAATAAAATGATTATTGGGTCTTGAATTATCATACATATTCGCAAAGCTTAGCTCATCTGTAAGTTTCACAAAGCTGAGGAGAAACAGCTTGGATGTCTGCAAGAGGTAAATGGGGAGAATACACCAGAGAAGGTGTAGTATGGATCAGAATAGAACGAGCAGTGCTTTTTTTCTTTAAAAATTGTTTAGAGGTACTCTCAATTTTGTCTCAAGAAAATCACCATTTTATAGTTCAAATAGGGAAAAATAAATACACTAAATGGATAAAAGTACAAAGATTCACAAAATATTTAGGGGTATGTGTGCCCCTGCGTACCCCCAGAAAAAAAGCACTGAGAACGAGTATGAACAGCTTTGCGACATGAATCAAACTTTGTTTTTTAACTCTGTCCTACATTACAGCACTCCCCAAGCATTCAAAGCATTTCACCACCCCAAATCATGAAGAGATTTACACAATTGTGACTCCTAGTTTCTCAGCAACTATAAACAAAGCATTTAAAGTAAAAAGCAATAACTTTCACTCTGTGTGTCAACTTGTAGTTTTATGACCCCGAACATCATGACATTTAGAAGAATTTGAGATGAAGCTAGTTATCCTTAGAATAGTTGTCTAAGAGACTAAGTGTATAACTGAGTTTGACTGCCTTTCCTAAGACTGTAATCTTTCCTTCAAGTCAGGAAAAAAACCATATCAATAGGGCCAAGTCATTTTAAATATGTTCTCCAGTAAAAGGTCATTTTTTATTTACAGTGTTTTCTATTTGTACATATTTATAGCAACATCAAAAAAGTATTCACAATGCTTCACTGAGTGCAAAATGCCACTTCATTATCACCTACCATCCTAATATTTCACCCACCTTTCCCCAACATTACCCAGATTGTCTTAGCATAGTTTATATCCTTCTTGCACATATCGGGCCACACTATTAAAAAGCAACCTTCAAGTGTGAAGATGAAAATTTGCACATCTCAGCTGTATTCAACACAGTTTTAGGCATATCTATATTTCAAAGTAAATGGATATGCATATGAGTGATGGAGGCATGACAGCAATATCGGAAGTGCAGGTGTAATAATAATCCAGAGTGCAAAAGCAGCAGCCAGGCTAAGGGAGCCTTCCCTTCTTCCCACCCCTTTATTTCTAGGGAGTGGCTTTGGACAAACCCGACAAGGAAGTGATTTTTCTCAGTATTATTAAGGCTACAATCACGTTAATGACTTAAATAAGGCTTTATTTCTGAGGTACTAGTTGGCAGGTAGGCACACACCGTGCAGACCTGCAGAAGTCCAACCCCAACAAGCTTGTAGCAATGACACTGAGAAATGGCATCACTTACTACTATCCCTGAAATCACTATTACTTGCCTTTCAGAGTAAAGCAATACATTAAAAGACTTATATAAAAATTCTGGTGTTGTTTTGTAGCCTCCTTTCAGTTTATTAACCTTCCCAGCCAGAAGCCCAAACTCTAACCTTTGCTTTAACTATAAATGTGATATGCCTAGTTATTAATTATAAATAAAAGTTTGGGATGACCAAAGCTGGTGAGTGAAATGAGATTAGCCTCTGACTGGTTCTCTTATCCCTTGACATGAACAGCTTTGGACTGAGCCCACAGAAAACTTACTGGTGAACCAAGAGGCCTGAAAAAGATAGTAAGCATTTTTGCAGAATTGAAAACATCCTACTAATCATTTTGTACTTTTGCTGGAGGAAGCATTTTGTCCCATCATCATGCACTTCTGGAAAAATAAAAAAATAAAAAGATTTGGTGTCTGTTTTTCACCCAGATCTTCTGTGGGGTTGTCCTCTCACGTTCATCACTGCACGGTTTCAAACAGCAGCCCCAGTTGTTGTTTTTTACTTTAATCAATCTACCATCACAGCTTCAAGTCATCTAAGAACAACGCAGAGCTTTTTTTAACAAGTGTAATTTCTCTGAGGCAGCAGTGGCACTGGCACGGGGACTGTATTTTTCTTGCTGGGTAACCCAGCAGGTATGATTTCCACAAATTCAACCTTGGTGTCAAGTGTACTTAAGGCTCCACCTTGGGTTCTCTGAATTTTGCTTTCCCAAGTCCAGGGAGCTGGCGCTAGTAACACACGGCAGTAGGAGTCACATTACATGTGCTACCAGTCATCTAGATGTCACTTCATTTTGTTTCAAAAGAGGAAGTACAGGTACATTAAGCTGAGGTTTAACAAATGCATATATTTTACTTAAAAACATTCATCTGATCCAAAATAAACTTCATGGGACAAAACTTTTTAAATAACATTTCAATTCAAATCGTATATAATTCTTTAAAGTTTTCATACAGCAAAGAATGGTTAACCCTTGAAAATCTGTAGAAAAAACACAAAAAGGAAAACAAAAGCTCTGAGGTATCACACCCACCCAGACACAGCCACAACTGGCTGTGGTATAAGCAGAAAATTGTAGGCCCAAAGGAAAAAAGATGACTGATTGTTCTAGTAGAGTTCAGGTAGCTCAGGAAAATAATCCCAGAAGAGTCCTCTGAGTAAAGGAACTACCTCAAAAAAGTCCTCAAGTGCATTGGAGACCTGATCACTTAAACTGCTCCTGCCAAGCAGCTCCCTGCACCTGAGAGAAATGCAGCCCAAGGTGCCTTGTGCAAAAGATAAGGAATTAGGTGCGGCTATTTCCCGTTATTCCTTATTATATAGCTTTGAGAGTTGTACGGACAGTTCGACTTGTCTTTGATCATGCAAGGTACTGCTGGAGTGCTGTCTTTGCCCTGTAAGGAAAAACACCCGTCAGCCACTGGGATGACAAAAGTACACTTATAAAATACAGGATCTTTAACAGTGTCGTTATGCAAATAGCCAACTGCAGTAGTGGAAAACTGAGTCAATGAAGTTTCTCACAAAATTAATCAACATTTCTTCTGAAATTCTCTAATGGCATGTCCAAAAAATTATCTGTTTCCTTAAAAGTCTGTTTTGGATTGAAATCAACAACTATAAACCAAGAATCCCAATAGTATTTCAAGCAAGTGACTGCTTTAGGAATCCAACAGATACTTCAGTTAAATATGATAGAGGAATAATAGAAAGGGATACTTCCAATAAAGAAGGCTTTTAGTTCGCCCTTTAATAATTTTTGCACTGCCCATTTTCAGTTTGTGGAGGCATAAAGACATGCCAGAAAGGTATATAAATTTCAGCCTTTGTTTGAAAGAAGAAAAGCCCAAACTCCCATGGAGAACTTGTCCCTGTAGAGTATGAAATCAAAGTTAAATCTTCTGTGATATTTCGGACCTGTTGATTAAACTATTTTTGAAAGGCAAGGGGCAACTCTAAGGTTTGCAGGAAAAGTAAACAGTAAAAATATCCCATTTACAAGAAGTGCATTTTCACTAATAGCTCTGCACAGTCAAGTCCAAGTATCTAATCTTATCTGCATAAGACCACTGCAATGAGTTTTAAAAGTTAACAAGCTCCATAAAATTTGGTTTTGGAATAGTTTTATACTTACTTATCACAAAGATTTGGATCTGATGACTGACTCAATTTGTGTAGAATATCTACTATTCCAATATCTCTGAGTTTATCCTGACGGTCTTGAGAACCTAAGACAAAAACACTGCATATTGTTAATGATATGTTCCATGCAGTTTATCAAGAACAACTAAAAAGTTGCAAGGAATGCAATACAATCCTATGCAAAGAATTCTTACAGCCAGAATACCACTTAGCTCCAGCTCCCACGATCCCATGTGTTCACTGTGTGAATGATGGTTAGGAGATGAGGACCTTCTTTAATGTCACCATCAATTAGGCAAATCAGTTCTAGAATGCAGGGCCTTCTGGTGGCAGCCCCTTATTTCTGAAACTCCCTTCCAAAGGAGATAAACCAGATCTGTGCCACTGGGCCAACTAAGAGAATTGTACATTTTGCAGTTGCAGTTTACTGACTTTGAGAATTATACACTTACAATATTATTAATTTCCATACACACTTGACAGTTGATTACAGTAAATGAAATAAGTGATCAACAGCTTCTTGGAGGAAGGTGTAATATAAAAAATTTAAGAAATAGAAATGCATTTTACTCTTCCAATAAACAATAGCTATTCCATGCTTCTAATTTAGGTATTTTTTTTTCTAATCTCCAGTATTTCGCATATATGATCATTGCTGTTGTAATAATGAAGGATAATTCTTGATAATTCCTATTTAACAAATAAATTTCAAGCCAATAATACTACAATGTCCAAATTCAACTATACAATAATTCTGTAGGAAGCATTAAGTCTTATATGTGACTTAATGTGAACAATCCTAGCACAGATGTGGATCTCAATATTGTGTTGTATCTAACCCTGCATGAGTGGAGTTCCATCTATGCAAAAGGACCTTCCCTTCCTCTCCTCCTCGCTCTGCAGCACCAAGAGGAGGAAAGGGAAGTTTGCTCTGTGCACAACTACAGCACTGGATACAATGCAATGGAACTACTCAGTGCTACATACCCCTGTGAGCAGATTTATATCAGAAAGAATTTTGCTGCTGCAAATCAGCCTCTGCTTGTATGCAGCATTTGGT